AAAAAGAAGAAGAGCAAACAGCACCTTTTGCAACTGCCCAGCTTTCTTTCCGACTCACCGTCCGAAAAGGGTTGCCGCCGTAGTTTCCCTTTCTACAGCTATTCCTCTTTGCAGGGGCGACGTGTCCCACGGCTGGGCGGGACTGAGGCAACAGTCGGAAAATACAGTAAGTGGGAGGGAGCAGCAGGAGGAGGAGGTGGAAGAGGAAAAAGCGGAGTACAGTACGGAACAGCGCGTCGCAAGGGTGGCCGGATTTGGGGACGTCACGCTTCTCTTTCTCTCTTCCGCGGCCAGGTTGGGCAAGTACCATTTTTCAGGAGGGGCCAGGGAGAGGCGGAAAAGGTGGTGGCCATCATTATCTTTGAAAGGTCGTAAGGAAGTCTGTTATATGTGTATCGTTCCTATTCCTAATTTAATGATGCGAAGACCCACTCGCTTGCACTTGGCCACGAAGACACGCCGACCCTCCCCGGAAAGATGGTACATTCGTAAAGCGTGTCTCTGGGCTTTTGTTAGGTTGCCATCTACTGTTGGAATAGGAGACTGTGGAAAGCTGTTTTGGTAGAACTGCGGTAGTTTTTGAAGTCAGATCTCGATAGGTGAGGTCCGTGCTTTTTTTGTAAAAAAAAAAAAAAAAAAAAAAAGTGCCAGAACTCACACATGTCATACAACCCGCCTTGCCTACCCTACAAGGTTCCATCCAAAAAAGGTGCCGGAACTCCGTTCTGGGCGTTGCGTGACAAAAAAAGCCCTGCGTGAGGTTGACAGCATCGACCTGTAAAATTTTAAATAGGTGTCTCTAAACACAGCTGCTCTATTTCCGGTCTTATGACACATTGAATAGCGACAGAAACGTTACACTTTGCGTTCTGTTTCTTTTTTGTATTTATTTCTCCTACTTTTTTTTAAAAAAGTAAGCCGCCCAGACTTATTTGAAGTTGGTGCCATAAGTTTTATACAGAGATATTAAAATCAATAATAAACCAGTGGTGGGATTCAGCCAGTTTGCACCAGTTCAGCAGAACTGCAGCTAATGTTTTCTTGCCCAGCCCCAGAATGGACTTCCAGAAGCTGCATCCACACAGAGAACCGGTTGTTCACATATTTGAATCCCACCACTGACATAAACTGTTGTATAAATAGCAACAATTATGTTGCAGACAAGGACAGAAAAACGTTGATTCCCCCCCCCCAACAATTACCATATACTGTGAACAGTGTGTTAATTGTAGTCTCTGGAATATATTCGGGGAGCATATTTGTTCTCTTCTGAATACAAAAGAACTTGTGTTAGATTCTTGTGGTGGCAGGATATTTGGAATAATTCTGAGTACAATAGATGATTTTTTGAAATATAGGAATATATGGGTTTTTTATGATATAACCTACTGGTATACTCATACTATGAATATGTTTTTGTAATGTTCTGTATATATATATACTTTGATTCTAAAAAATAAAAGAAACAAAATTTTGAAGGTCTGAAAAGTTATTACTTATTTTTGTTCCACCCTACTAAAGTACTCGAGGGTCTACTAGGAATTAAAATATAAAATATATAGCTTATTATAAAATTGCTATCTATGTCTACCTCAATGCACTAACCCCAGAGAGGCTGCCTAAAAAGGAACAGATTTTGGCTCAATGCTGATAAGACTTGGTGGGTCTGGCTGTGTGCCATTTTCACAGTCGGTCGTAGATAAGATTGCATTTCTCCAATGCAGGCGTGCAATCTGGGGGGTCCTCTTGGACTCACAGCTACTGCTCAATCAGCAAGTGGCAGATGTGGCCAGGAGGATCATATTGTACACCAGTTGTGCCCTTTCCTTAACTGGGACACCCTTCAATTGGTCATTAACACCTTAATTACCTTATGACTGGAATACTGCAATACACTCTACATCAGACATGTAAAACAAAAGCCCAGGGGCCGGATGCGGCCCACGAAGCTATCCTGGAAACAGTGAGGGAACGGCCCCCGCTGCCTTGGCCCTGGCCCAGGCCAGCTAGGAGCCAATGTACAATTTTGTGATGGCCATCTTGGCACTTGCCCCAGTCCCACCCCCTTCTGCCAGAGACTCTCAGATCTGTCCCACTCCTGCCCAGGCCCCCACAGGCACCCTTGACGCGAATGATGTAGAACTGGCCACGCCCCCAGTAGGCCACACCCATTCCATCCACAAAGGAAGGGACAATGGGAAAGAGGGAGGGAAGGAGGAAGAGACTAAGGGAGGTGAAGGAAAGGAAGGGACAATGGGAGAGAGGGAGGGAAGGAGGAAGAGACTAAGAAGGAGGTGAAGGAAAGGAAGGAAAGAAGGGACAATGGGAAAGAGGGAGGGAAGGAGGAAGAGACTAAGGGAGGTGAAGGAATGGAAGGAAAGAAGGAAGGAAAGGACAATGGGAAAGGGAGGGAAGGAGGAAGAGACTAAGAAGGAGGTGAAGGAAAGGAAGGAAAGAAGGGACAATGGGAGAGAGGGAGGGAAGGAGGAAGAGACTAAAGGAGGTGAAGGAAAGGAAGAAAAGAAGGAAGGGACAATGGGAGAGGGAGGGAAGGAGGAAGAGATTAAGAGGGAGGTGAAGGAAAGGAAGAAAAGAAGGAAGGAAGGGACAAGGGGAGAGAAGGGAAGGAAGGAAGGTAGGAACCCACCCCAGTCCCATCCCAGAGACCCACAGATTTCCCCCCTACAGGCACTCTGCAACCTGAGTGATCAGCTGGCCATGCCCCCTGGCCATTGATCACGTGACCCTGGGACACTGTGAACGTCGTAAGTATGAATCAGTTGTCAAGCATCCTAATGTAAATCACATGACCCTGGGGATGCTGCAACAATCATAAGTGTGAAAAATGATCATAATTTACTTTTTCAGAGCTGTTGTAACTTCAAACAGTCACTAAGCGAATTGTTGTAAGTCGAGGACTACCTATACTTTCCCATTTTTTCCTTTTTTTTTTGGTCAAGTTTTTGATACCCCCTGGCCAGCTGGATGGGAGGTTGGGGGTCACCACAACATGAGGAACTGTATTAAAGCGTCGCGGCATTAGGAAGGTTGAGAACCACTGCTTTAGAACCATATATTTAAATATAATACATAGAATGGCTGGACAGGAATGTTTTTCTCTTTGTTAAACCACAATGAACTTTTCTGTAGGCTGTGGATAAACAACTACCTCAATATTATTAAAGTGGCCTGGTTCTAGTCTAGTGTTTTATTATGCTGGGTCATATTATACTTGTGTGAATTTCCATTATCAACATTTTTCATGAATTACTGATACAAACATTGGTAACTGAAGGTGTTTTTTTCTTTTTAAAATCTGGAATAATTGATTGCAATCTTTCAGAGAACATAGCAGTAATCTGTAACTTAATAAGCTCCCTGCCTTGATGGGATTCCTAAGTCCACACTCATAGTAGTAAGTAAACCATATTACATCATTAACAAATTCCAAAGCAAAAAGAAAAATTCTGAGACAACAAATAAAAATCACAATAAAATTTAATGATGATAAAACATGTGGTTAGATCAGCGGTTCTCAACGTTTGTGTGATGGCGACCCCCGTCACACAAACGTTATGCGCATGCGCGGCGCGCATGGGGGCGGGGCACCCCCATGCGTGGTGCGCATGCACGGCGCCGCCCCTGGAGGGGAGAAAATGGCGGATCACCGCCTTTGGCAACCCCCGAAAAATGGTCGATCGACCCCAAATGGGGTCGCGACCCATAGGTTGAGAACCGCTGGGTTAGACTGATATTTTTACCAATAGCAACACAAATCATAGCCATGGTCAGAGAAATAAAGTCACATTAATCAGACAGTAACAACTAAATAAAATGGATCTACACAGCTTGAGAGTTTAATGCGGAACTAAGCATTTTTATAATAAGGGCAAAGTAACAAATGTAGGTTAATATTTCAAGAACTCCTTTACCACAGGGCAGTCTTTGTTCAGCTGGGATTTCCATAATTTCCCTTCAAAGTAGCTGTTGGATGGGCATTCGGTCTAGCCAGAATTACAGCCCTTCTGGATTTGGGAATGGTTATTTGACTTAAATATCTAGCTGTTCAAGAACTATCTGTATTTCTATGTTCAAAGGAACAAATGAAAAGTATTTTTGCACTGAGGGAGCTTTAGGTGACAAGTCTGACTCACATGGTGGCAACTTTTATGTAGGGTCTTTTCACATTTTGAAAAGATATTAATAGTGATGTTAAATTATGGATTCAAAGAAAGTTGTTACCCATAGTACAACCGAAGAAGCAACTTTGTATATAATACATATAAACTAAGCCTTACCTTACTTTACCTTTCTATTCTTCAGATCACCACTATTTAAATAAACTGATCAAATTCTGAATTATATTTGTATACAAATTATATTTGTATACCATTTTAATATTTTTATTTACTTATTTAACAAGAAAAACTACTTTCTGCTATTAACATTTTTATATCTTTCTGGACTCATATAGGTTCTCTTAAAAATGAGGGAGGGAGCCTTCTTATTGTCTAATCTTTTCTATTATAAATTTTGTGTTTGGGTATATATATTTACCCAATAATATGTAAATGCCTATTGTAATAGCTTTTCTTGAATGTCAAGTAACACATCAATATTTTTAGAACTATTTAAATCATACAAGATTGGCCTATTGCTATTGCATTTTATCCATGGGAGAGAAGGTGTATATACTTTACTTTCTGTACAATGTGCAAATATTTCACATTTGAATTTTCCTACTTTACAGGTAGGATGGCAAGCAATTCTTCAGATTTTGCTGTATTAGATTCTCATAGTCCTTCACTATTTGTCACACTTATACTGCTGTTGGTGCTGCTGTTCATCTATACTGGAAAACCAGAGATCCCTATCTCTGCTTAAAAAAAACCCACACAAATATACACTGCCCATTGAATCTAGGAAAGAACACTTCCAGTAGTTGTGATTATTGTGATTAATGGGGTGAAATGTATTTGTACTGAAATCATAAATAGGTGTCAAATTATTAATCATGAACTTTATTTACTGTTTTATATAGTCAAGATTTATTTTCAAGATGACAGTTAATACATTACCAAAAATGATCTTTATCGAAAGAAAAAATTATGCATATGTGCTTTATAAATCTTTGGAGTGAATTATCTTAGAAGCCAATATTGAAAAGCTACCCCAATCTGGAGAAGAGTGAGAATCCCAAAGCCTGTTACTAAGATGCAGCACTAATTGTCACCCTCAGCAGAAGATTAAACAGTGATCTCACTAAGCAACTGGATGCTTTTTACTTCAATCCGCTGTATGTTGGTTCTCACCTCCATGGCATAGGAGCTTGGCACAATTTGCTAGAGGAGATACCTGTAGCAAAGATTGGTGTAGCATCTGTAACTTCCAGTTCTTATATACAGCATAATGCAAGAGCATAGTTACCATTTCTGAACTTTCTTTTCACTAACAAATTGGCCATGGGGTTCAGTAGCGCCAGGAGATAAAAGCGCTAAATAAACTGGAGTCTCAGCTCCCTCATCTGGACTTTTTGTGGCTCTGGAACCTGCCATATCTGTTCTGACCCACCCAGGACAACAAGCATTCAGGAGAATACCATCATTTTTTCTTGTCTCATTCAATAGCCTGGCCTGAATTCTTGATAAAACTGTCACTCCAATTTTGGATACTCCATAAGCAGCACTTGGCCAGCCTTCCTTCTCATGCACTCCCTTCTTGGTATCTTCCACAAATTTTTCCATCAGTTTCACTAGCTCTTCTTCAGTGATTGTGTCACTCCGAAATTTCTGCTGCAGATCCTGGTTACATTTGGACAATGCTGAAACTGAAACCATGCTGGATACATTGACTACCCTCCCTATTCCAAGACAAAAAAAAAAAATTAAAAAATTAAAAAAAATCACAGGATAAATGATTTTTTTCAATTTTATTCATTTTGTAACAATATATGTACCCACAAAAAAGGAGGCTTTATTCTCTCAATAATTATCAGTGAATCAGTTAGCTCTGCCATCCCATTTTGTATACTCCAGATAGATAGTGTGGGGCCAGCTTTTTCTACTTGTGAATGCTCTTTTATGGGTCTGAGAATCCTGAAATATTGGAATTGGTGAAGAGCTGCTATAGACAGAGTCTTTCTTCAATAAATGCTGGAAAATGAATAACGCTGAATAAACAGGCTTACATAAATGTAAACATGCATATATTCATGGGTACTGACTTTAGATTTTCATTGTAGCTGTAAATGCATGTATGATAGAGAATGGTTGTCATCTATATTCAAATGGACTCAGCTTTCCAAATGTACTGGTTTATTTTGTAGACAATTTTAATCAAGCAGTAATCTTGATTGTTTTGCCCTGTAACTGCTACTTCTGCCAAGCTATGAAAGCTAGCTAAACCACATATTACCTGGAAATGATTATTGGAGGAAAAAAAATCTCCAACGTTCATTTCAACAGAAATTGACAACCCAAGTTTAGGATAAACTGGAGTTCTCAATTTCCATTGAAATGAATCCTAGAGATTTTTCTGCAGGGCAGAAGCATGGATACTCTATCGTTTAACTTAGATATCATATATATATATATATATATATATATATATATATATATATATATATATATATATATATATATAATAATTTAAATGATTAGAAATAATTCAGTATTATAAAGCAGAAGAAAATTCAGCATAAGACTGATTAAAAGCAGTTCAGTTCAAAGTCCATTTAAAAAACTAAACAGATTTAGTTGGAAATAATTCCCATTCATTTCAATGAGATTAGTATCAGAGATATAAACTATAATCTGAAATTCCTAGAAGCACTATGACTTAAACATGGACAGTTACTGAATTTAAAAGCTGAGCTTAAGGAAGAGTTGATCATATATGTTTTTCTGTTAGTGTTTATTTTGGCATTTTACTTGTCAAAAACCTCGATTAATCTTTAACATACTCCACCCCCATTGTGTGCTTACCATTAGGTTTCAATAGTGGCAGAAGTTCTGTGCAAGCATTCCTGGTTGCAAAAAAATTTGTTCTCAGCGTGACTTCTGCTTGTACAGCAAATGGGGTTGTATCTGCAACTTTTTTTTTCAAAATGGAAAAAAACAGAAGTCAATATTCCTAATATATAGGAAAATGGGAAAGCATTGTATAACAAGAGATGAAACACTGTAAAAGCTTAAATATTACTTGGATGGAATGATGTTGTAAAAAATAGAAATGGATACTTAGCAGTGCCTAAACAGTTATTTTATCTGCATGCAAGACAAAAATGCATATTGTACTGTAATGAAATAAGACTCTTAAATATAATTAGGAGAAAGACATACAGATTTTAAATGAACAGTTCTGAAAATATTCCTGGAAATATTTCAAGTTGAACAGATCTTAATTTAAGGTGTATTGCACTAGTATTAAGCCAGGATTCAGAATTACAATATAAACCTCTTTGACTCGAGAAAAAACTTGGTTTAAACTTCCTCTTCTTTACATAGCTGGAAAATGAATCATGAAGCATTTTACCTTCCATCGTTTGCAACTTGTATTGAAGTATAAAACTATAGTTTAAAATAATCTCTAGTAAATTACTAAACCATTCAGTTTCAAATGATATTTTACAGATTTTCTTATTTACTATATTAGGATGCAATTTAAAATATTTTCTGGTTTGTGTACAATGACAGCCCTTCTAGGTGAACAAGGAAAAAAAATGCAAGTATAGGACTAGATGCAAATTGGGGTAGAAATTAAAGTGTCAGTTATCTATAGGAACTCACAAGCTATACATGCATATGACCCTATAAATTAATTGTTGTTAATTGTTGTTGTTAATTGCGAAGTCGTGTCCGACCCATCGCGACCCCATGGACAACGTTCCTCCAGGTCTTCCTGTCCTCTACCATCCATAAAGGGGATAAATTAATACAGGCTATATATTCAGATATATGGGGACCAAACTAGAATACATAGAGATCTATTGAAAGACAATTAAATGACACTGTATATGTGTTAGGCATATATAAGAGCCATATCTGTAGAGTTCAAACTAGCTACTTTGTTCTCTGCCTATAATACAAGTAGTCCCCGACTTACGACCAATTGAGCCCAAAATTTTTGTTGCTAAGTGAAATATTTGTTAAGTGAATTTTGCCCCATTTTATGACTCTTCTTGTCACAGTTGTTAAATGAATCACTGCAGTTGATAAGATAATAAGTAGTAAGAGAGTAAGATTAGTTAAGTGAATCTGGCTTCCCCATTGACTTTGCTTGTCCGAAGATCACAAAAGAGGATCACTTGACCTTACGACATAGCAACGGTCATAAATATGAACCCGTTGCCAAGCATCTCCAATTTTGAAATATGTGACCATGGGGATGCTGCAATAGTCAGTGCCGTTGTAACTTTGATAGTCACTAAATGAACTGTTTTAAGTCGAGGATTACTTGTACAGAAATCTCCCCAGACTGGCAGTTTTTGCCTGGGAAAGAATAGATAAGGTTCTAAGGCAGTGACGGCGAACCTTTTAGAGACTGAGTGCCCCAAAACCGCCCTGCACCCCCGTCCCCGCTCCACCCTGCCCACTGGGCCACCCACCACCTCCACAGCCTGCCACAGATTACCCAGGCAGCCCAGCAGCACCATGGCGGCCACACCCTCTGCCCATGCCCCGCAGCATCATCTGCGCGCGACGGGGCGCAAGGGCAGAGTCTTATCCCTGCTGCCCGGCTACCATGTCCTTGGCTGCGCTGCTTCGCATGGGCCGCGCCCAGAGGCAACTCTCCTCTAGGAGGGCTGCTGGTGAGGAGGGAGCCGTGGGAGGAGATGGGGCTGGGGAAATGGTGCGTGTGCCCACAGAGAGGGCTCTGAGTGCCACCTCTGGCACCTGTGCCATAGATTCGCCACCACTGCTCTAAGGCATTAGCCCTCTTACGTTTATGTAGTGAGTTTGGGCTGATTAGTCACTTGATGCCTTTTCCCTTCCAGGATGGTTGCTCTCCAAAGTAGGGAATGCCAGAAAATCTGGTTGATTTTCATCTCTTCTGTTAAAGAAATCTATTTCGTCTTTTCAGTCTTTCTTGTGCTATCACATGCATAAATTCCAATAATAAATTTGTAGCATATTTTTGCTACAGATTCATCTTCCCAAGAGAAAAAACTAAAAGATCTGCAAAAATATTAGCTACAATTTTACTCTCTACAGAGCTGTAGCCAAAACCTTTGATCTGTTGTTCACCCAATTTCTCATTCAGTGATTTACATTTAGGTTACCTTTGAAGGCAATCCCAGCATTGTTGACTAGCACATCCAATCCGCCATATTTTTCCTTGAGAAAATCACGGAGAGTTTGGATACTCTCCAGATCATTAATATCTAGTTGGTGGAAAAGTGGTTTTAATCCTTCTTCCGACAGTTGTGTCACTGCTGCTTTGCCTCGTTCAGAGTCCCGGGCTGTCAAATACACATCCCCAGAGAACTGCTTGCACAAGGCTCTCACAATAGCCAGACCAATGCCTTTGTTGGATCCAGTCACCACAGCTACTCGTGCAGACATTTTGCCTATAATTAAATGCCAAAAATTATCAATAGAAAACACTTAACAAAAAATCTCAACTGATTTAATTTGCTATTTTTCTACCGACGATAGTTTTAAACTTTGTTTTAATATTCAGTGCCCTGCTTCTAATTCAAACTCAGCCTGATAGTACCTAGGCTATGGGGTAGGACAATTGTAGAAATAATGAGAACTATGCTTTTAATGTAGTACGTGTTAAATGTATTCTAGGACAGCCTAGGTGCATAATATAAACCTTGAATATTATTAAAAGTATTATTAAAAGGATAATTACAGAGCCAGTTTGGTCTAGTGGTTAAGGTACCAGGCCAGAAACTAGGAGTGAGTGAGTTCTAGTCTGCCTAACGCTTGAAAGCCAGCTAAGTAACTTTGGGCCAGTCACACTCTCTCAACCCAGCTCACTTCACACTGTTGTTGTTGTTGTGGGGAGGAGGAAGGAGTATTAGGTGAAAGGAGTAGATTATTAATCAGAAATTTCTAATGAGTCTAAAGGTTAATAGAAGCCACCTGAAAGTCATAAACTCTGAAAAGTGAATTTCATACAACCGCAAGTAGAGGAAACACAAAAACTGAGGATAAAGTTAGAGCTTAAGGTATAACTGCAAACAACTATAGAGATAATTATAAGAATTGAGCTTTGTTAATAGAAAATTAGATGGTGATAGATAGGATGTGCACAAAGGGGCTTCCTGGAACATGGGAGGTTCAGTAGTTTTAGGCGGTCATAGTTTATCGGATGACACAGCTCTTTAAAGTGTGGCTGAACTCCTACATATGTTTCAGTTCATCAAGCCTTTGCAAATGCTTCTTTTTAAATAAAACTTTGTTGCTGGAATTCAATTGAGTTTGTTTGTTTTAGGACCTTGAGCCACATTCCAAACATTAGGTATAACTCATGTAGCATTTTGAATTATCTGTAAAAATAATAAAGGTGGGATTAAAAAATCTAAAATAAAAACTGTTCTTCACTAAAAATATTAAAAGGCAGCTTAGATAGAGTAGAACTTCCAACCAGTGGGGACTGAGAATACATTAAAATTAAAATCTAGTAATATATTTTTTAGGATTACTTAACATTTTGATTACAGTATGTGCTAATGAGTCATTTTCAACTCCTTAACAACCACATAGATTTCTTCCATGACGGCTGTATAATTCAATTAAATGAACTCATTAAAACAGTTGTTTTATAAACACTAACCAGCCAAATTGAAGCCAAGACAACGAGAAATTCATAATAAGAAAACGTCCTTGAAGGTCGAAAATGTATAACAACTTGCAACATTCGATTACGTGCTCCAATCACCAAGGAAGGATCTCCTTGCAAGGTGATATAATTATATACATCACTCCTCCCGTTTCATCCATTTCTTAAATTACCAAAAATGCATAAAGAATAAAACACTCGGAATCCTTGAGCAGATGCTAGAAGATGTTGAAAAACCAACCACATACCAGAATTATGGTATACCAGGTTTTAAAACTTTTACCTAAAACAATTATAATATACCACGTTTTTCATCTTCTGCCAGCTGCAAAACGGTTCCAGCTATTTGTACAGGCTCTAAATTCTTTACAAGCAAAGATCTAATGAGTTAGAAACGCGCGTTAGAGAATAAAATCCTGCGGCGGGGTTGAGGAGAATGGAAGGGAGTGAAAAGAAAGCATTTTAAAAGAAATTTAGCCACAATCCTATCCAACCTTTCTCAGTCGCGCAAAAAGCGGCAGTAATTCTCGCCAGGACTGCAAGGAGAAGAAGAACGAGCTCTTCATCCAATGGGAAACCACCTTCGACGAGCTTGCTTTTTCTCAATAGGCAGTTGGCTGAAGACCGCCTTTTCCGCTTTCTTGCCACCTGAGTAAGGCCTGGTGATTTCTGGGTTTGCAAGCGCAGCATAGTTGAAATCGGAAAGGAAAAACATGCTTGCAGGCTGGGGATATTGAAGCATGAATTGGCTGTGGGAAGCTTGAAGGTAGCAGGGAAATAATATCTTCAGCCCGTTCCTTATTCTTATACTCAAGAATTCTTCCTCTCAAATTTTGGATGGTTTATTCCTGAAGAGATTATAATGCTCCATAGATATACTGAGTGAAAAACCTCTCTGAGCCCATTTGGAATTGTGGTTAGCCAAACTGAATCTTGATATGTTTTGATTTAAGTGAAAATTTATATTTTTGATAATTCCTGCTGTTTAAGCTCATTCCCCAAATAATATTTAACAATATAAAAAGAGCTATACAGCTCTTGTTAGATGTGACTGACGGATTCCAGGAATAGTCGTTTAGAAGATACTTGCAGTATCATAGGTTTTACCCTATTTTACAGCAAACTAAGCTAAAGTTGGCAAAATGATTCCCAGAGTGGTCAAACGATTGAGGAACCACAGACATATTGAAGACTTAGAGCAGTTCTGATGTTCCCTAGAAACATCCTCACCAGCAACCATACATCTGATTGACATTTGTAGCTGTTGAAAGTACTGCACTATGTCGAATGTATTTTGGTTCTTATTACCTTGCATTTTTTTTTTATTTTTCAAGTATTAAATGTGGTATACACATGAATATGCCATATGCAAATTTCTTATCGACATATTTGTAAAAATGTGGCAAAACAGATTTCTGCAATTGAAATAATTGATTTAAAAACTTGGTTTACTTTTTTATTTTCAGTTTATGTACAAATTCCCAAATAATTTTAAAATGAAGAAATGCAGAGGTCGTACTTACCGAAAGAGACACAGAAAACAATCTATAGCTTTTTCTTCAAATGGTGGTAATATGATTAATCATTTTATTTACCTATGTATGTATATATGTATTTGATTTTTATCCTGCCTTTAACATAAAGCAGTGAACATTCCTTTCTCTTCCTATTTTCCTCACAACAAGCCTGTGAGCTGGGTTGGGCTAAGAGAGCATGACTAGCCCAAAGTTACCCAGTTGACAGGAATAGAATCTGGTTTGGTCGGATATTAATAATTTCTATAGGATTGCTCCTATAAAATTTAAATGATTTTAATTTTATCCTTAAATCATATCCCATTTCTATTAGATATCTGTTTTCTTGCACTGATGTTGTATTGCCTTTAGCACAGTTAATTTTATAGTTTATATAATACTTAGATCAGTGAAGCATAGTTAATTTTATAGTTTATATAATACTTAGATTATATGTGATGCATTAATACATTGTATTAATACATGATTTTAACAAAAAATATTATTGAAACAAGCCAAAGAGCTTATTTTTGTCCACATATTTCATCGTTTCTGTTTTGTAATGTGATTTTATGAAGCAGTATATTGTTATGAAATAATCTTGTGGATCAACCTGGATACCTTATATGATATGTAATTATTTCCTTATTTAGTAAATTTGAGTTATAAAAATGAATATATACTTCTCAAGAAATGGTTGAAAGAAAAAGGCTACAAGAACAATAATTTAACTCCAGCAGTGTTTTCAGGTAATGTTCTAATAACTTTTCTAGAAATTTTGACAGCAGATTGGGTGTTAAAGGAATAAGATTAATCAATGGGGATATGTGAGCAGGAATTCATATCATTATTTGAATTGCCAGCTAATTCAGAATGTACTTCACATTCATTAGGAATCTTAGCAGAAACAGCAGTATCATTTCCCGTGCTGAACAGAGTAGCACAATCTTGTTTTAGCTCCTGCAGTTTCTAAAGAACAGTGACTTTTAGACAGAAGAGTAAAAGAATTCCTGAATTTAGTTCCATTTCTTCTATTAAAAGCAAAGAAGGTGAAAGGGATTGATCATTCCCAAAAGCAGTCTGCTCTTGTCTGTGTAAATATGTTGCTTTCATACAGACAGGCCAGTCCTTATCTCAGTTTCCTTTTGCTAGAAAATTTGTCAGGGAAGCAACATTGCCCCAGCAATAGTTAGCTTATTTAAAACCAAAATTCTTAGCTTGCTGCTATAAAGATTTCATTTGTGAATTTACAAAATCTTCTCAATCCTGGAATCTATACAAAAAAATGTCCCATACTTGATTTCTTCCCTTGGATATATCTATATATTCATGCTCAATTTTATTGAATTGAATTGAAGATAATTATATATTTCATTATGAAAATTGTAAATTGACAACATAATTGTATTGCTGGAGGGACTACAACAGTACTTTCCTCAAGCTTCCAAAAGGGGTTGCAAGATTAAAAAAAAGTTTCGACTTAAATAATTTCTATATTTGTCATTCCATATTTTTCATGTTAAATAGTCTATGACAACTGTCTAAGAAACCAATAGTAGTATACATTATTGCATTTTCCTCTCTCCTATGCCTTTTAGAAACAGGAAGGGGATTGATGACCACAAAAACGCTTCAGGTTTGTGATTATTCCTATGAATAAACAGTTGAAATTATCTGAACCATGATGAGGATATGAGAAATTATACTATCTTGTCTTTCCATGTAATGTATATTATTTAGATTTTCCTTGCGAATTTATGCTGGATTTATAAATGTTTAAACAATAATAGTGGATTAGGCTAGTATCTTAGTTTTGAGCAGGGACTCAAGAGCCTGTGGGTGGACCGGATTTATGTGGTTGTAGTTACGTTTCCAAAGCCTGGTTGATTTGGGGTTTAAATTCCTGTACTTCCAGATGATAGGATGGTATTCTGTAATCCAACATATTTGAACATTACCAGGGTAGAGATAGGTTTTTTTTGGATATTATAGAATTTTGCTTTAGTGTTTTAAGTAGGCCAAGCTATTTTTAAAATTTCCCCAGTGCTGTTATAAAATGAACTTCATTGTACTTATACCTTGCTGCGTCTATCAACTTACATTAAGGGTTTGGGATGTTTTGAATCCATAGCTATATTCTTCACTTTCTTTGATATATTTCACTTTTGAGATTTAATTATAGAAATACAGTAGATGCACGCTTGTAGAGTTTCTCATAGGATTACCAGGGTTATTACACTGTTAGAGGTTCTGCCAAGGAATGGCACTCTTCTGTGTTAACCCTTCTTAGCCTGTCTTTGGTGGGGATAGGGGTTGCTTCCAAAGTGAGTTTCCAAGGAGGGAATATCAAAGATAAGATGATGTAATTCTCAGTTTTGCCTCATCTGCAATTCATTTGCAACCTTTTGAAAATCTGCTTATTTTAAAAGTGGCAATTAATTAATTACTCAGTGCTTGTTACATTTAGCCAGGGTATTTTTTTATTTTATTTTAGTGCATAATAATGTATAAGATGAGTACTTTTTCAGTATATTCATTCTGGTTTTTTTTTTTTTTAATTTCATAGGCCGAAGAATTGATTATTTCTTTGCCTGAAAAGTGCTTGCTTACTTCCAATACTGTGCTTAGCAGCTACCTCAGAGAATACATTTTAAAGTAAGTTGGTCACCACTTAATAAATTTCTCAAATTTACACATTGACATTTCAATAGCTCTTATTATTTAAACTTATACTTCTCCTGATGTGAACAGTTTCCATTACTTTGAACAAAGTTGTGTAATTGGGGAATTATGTACAGTATGCATTTTTGTAAGAACTGATGCCATTACTTATGCTTCATAATTAAAACATATTTTTTAGAGAATGTTTGGGAAACTAAAGTTAGTTGAGTGATTGTTTTAGAAGGATAACACAAGGGATCCTCTTCCAGGTAAGTTGCAAATTAGATATGTGTTTCTTCAAAACAAATCCTTGTCATATTTATTGTGATATAATAAAATATTACCTTGACTTAGTTATCTGTTTGCATGGATATCATATGCACCTATAAATTTCATACCCATTCAAGTGAGGAATTGTAAATTCTGAGGTCAGAAAAAACAAATTATAGACCAGGGGTGTCAAACTCAATTTCATTGAGGGCCGCATCAGCATTGCAGTTGCCCTCAGGGGGCTGGGTGGGTGTGGCCAGGGTGGGTGCGGCCTACTGGATGGGTGTGGATGGAGTGGGTGTGGCCTACTGGGTGGGTATGGCCAGCTCTACATCATTTGTGTCAAGGGTGCCTGTGGGGGCCTGGACAGGAGTGGGATAGATCTGAGGGTCTCTGGCAGAAGGGGATGAGACCAGGGCAAGTGCCAAGGCTGGAGGTGTCTCACTGTTCTTCTCAGGCCATGCGGGGGGGGGGGGGGCTTATGGAACTAAGACTGAATGTGTTTCAGCTTAGATGGCCACCACAAAATTGTACATTGGCTCCCAGCTGCCTGGGCTAGGGCCAAGGCAGTGGGGGCCATTCCCTCACTGTTTCCAGGATGGTTTCACAGGCCACATGAAACCACATCGTGGGCCGCATCTGGCCCCTGGGCCTTTTGTTTGACATGTCTGTTATAGACAATCCAAACATTGAAACTGTCTTTATTAAAAATGGCCATTCACAAAGTAGTTGCTGGATGATAAAAGACATGCTTGCATTTTTGAACTGATCAGCACATATTTTGTTATTAGAAGCCTTAGTGCAGGCATGTCAAACTCACAACATCACGTGACGTCGCACAACGTATTGGGTTGGTTTTGCCATTGCCGGCAATGGGGTGGGCACGGCTTCCACGTGATGTGTCCGGCCCATGGGCCGGCAATTTGACACCCCTGCCTTAGTGCATGTGATTAAAAAAAGTTCCAGTTCTCAAATGATAGTATTGTATCTTTCGATGAATGATAGCAGAGCTGTTTTACATCAGATTCTATTTATATATTTTCCTTTGTTTAAGAATGACCTTCTAAAGTCAGAGCTAGAATGTTCTGGGAGGCTGAGATCTCTCTGTTCCCATCTATGAATAATGTTATATGTAAACTTTGTGTTTTCTTTTATACAGAAACTGATCTGTTTTTTTACTATATGGTGTCAGAAATAAACCCTGCATAGAATTCTACTCCCATATTTCCTTATTATTAGGGCCTAATACTTTATATGCAACTTCAGGGAATCATATCTTTCCCATCCTTCAGGCATTCATTATGGTAATGTTATTAATTGTGAACAGTGTCTCATGGCACTAAAATGGTATTTATGTAAGAAAGTCAAATGATACAATATGTAGAAAACCTACAATGAAAATGGTAACAATGAAAATTGAATTACTCTATCATTCTAATTGGTATACTGAAAATGGATGCAGGACAAGATACTGAAATGGTTAAACATTTGTGGCAGAGAAGGTTACAGTGTTTGCTGTTTTCTAGATTAGAAGAATGATGAATAAGCAGAATGTGATAGGAGTGAATAAACTGATGGAGCAATGGATATGGAGCTTTTTTCTTTTTCTGTCAAAATAGACAACGCAGAGTCATCCAATGAAGGCAAATAGTGTGAAACTCAAGACAGAAAAAAATATTTCTTTAAACAGTGAGGTTGATGTAGTGGTGAGGGCATCAGGCTATAAACCAGGAGAGTAGTCCCGTCTTGTCTGACTAGTTACTCTCTCTTAGCCTTAGAAAGCAGGCAGTGGCAAACCTCTCAACTTTTGACAAGAAAAATGCAAGGACTAGCCTAGGCAGTTGCCAGGAGTCAAAACTGACTTAAAGATACAATATTTAATTAACTAACCATCTAAATACCATGGCATTCATTCAAATAAAAAGTAAGGTTAGCTATTTGATCTGCTTTGAAATAGGGGTAGCTGAGGATGCTAACAATGCCCATGCTATTGCTCAAAAAATTCTGTGGTTGTGTCCATTAAATTGCCAGGAGTGGAGCTCAACCTGAAGGAATCTTTACTTAAGACACTAAGTGTCTAACAGAGTATATATTACTTCCACTATCAAAGACAATCTATTTAGTTATTGGAGAACTTCAGTTAGGTGGGTCTGTTAAGCTCATGCTCTACTTGTGGCATCCCATACATCTCTGGTTGGTTGCTGTAGGATTATTTTATTTTTATTTTTAAAATTTATAAGCTGCCCCACTCCCAAAGGACTCTGGGTGGCTAACAATAAAAAAAAACACATAAAACATAACAAAACAACAATACAAAAACAATCATCCAGGGGTAAGATTTTATAAACCCCAGGCCTGCCGGAAAAGCCAGGTCTTAAGTAGCTTACGGAAGACCAACAGGGTGGGAGCGGTCCTAATCTCCGGGGGGAGCTGATTCCAAAGTGTGGGCGCCATCACAGAGAAGGCCCCCCTCCGCGGCCCCGCCAAATGGCACTGCTTGGCTGACGGGGCCTGAAGGAGGCCCAGCTTGTGGGATCTAACCGGACGTAGGGAACTATGAGGTAGTAGGCGGTCTCGCAAATAGCCTGGCCCTGAGCCATATAGGGCTTTAAAGGTAATGACCAACACCTTGAATTGGACCCGGAGACCAATAGGCAACCAGTAGACCATTGGCTCCGATATTCCGTTCATTTAAACTATCAAGTTGTTCTTCCTTCTTTCAATTTCATCCCTTGTGGATGAGAGCTTTGGGTATGATAATAAAACTCAGAAAAAAACAGTGACAATCAAAATGTATTTAACGGTTACTATGCTTTCCTTTGCCTTTTCAATAGATGGAGACCTCCAATTTCTCCTTTGATAGCATTATGTTCATTTTTAATAACAGAGAAGTGGTTTCATAGGACATCTGTATGGAAACCGTACCTGGATCTCTTACCTGAAACATATACCTGTCCTGTCTATTTGGAGCAAGAAATAGTGAACCTTTTCCCTGAGCCCTTGAGAAGAAAGGCTCTCGAGCAACAATCATCGATCCAGGACCTTTTTGCTTCTTCAAAGCAGTTCTTCTCTTCGTTGCAGCCTTTATTTCCTGAAGATGTGGCGATTATTTTTAACTTCAGTGCCTTCCGGTGGGCTTGGTGCACTATAAATACAAGAACAGTGTTTATGAAACATTCACAGAAAGACTGTTTTTCTAGAGAGCCAGATATATATGCTCTAGCTCCATTTCTGGATCTGCTAAATCACAATCCAAAGGCCCAGGTAAGATGATAATAATGGTGATATTAATTTTATTAATTATAGAAAGAAAGAAGAAAAAGGAAGTCTTATATGTCTTGAGTGTTTTTTTTTTTTATACACCCTGTCGGCCCAAATATGGGAAGAAGAAGTCTTTTGCCTGTATCAGTTCAATCTAGAGCCATCCACAGGGAACAGTCGCTACTGTGACATCATTTGTATTTCCTAAATATTTGGGCAGATAGGGTGTATCAAAAAAACACTCAAGGCAAATCTCCCCTCCCTGATACAGCTGACAAAGTGAGAAAGAATCTGTGGCCTAGGGGTCAGCACAGCTGCCTAACGTGCAAGCAGCTCTGAAGGGATGCTTCTTCAATGTGAAAAACGGTCATAAGTCATTTTTTTCAGTGCGTTGTAACTTCAGCCACTAAATGAATGGCTGTAAGTCAAGGATTACCTATATAGCATTCTTGTTCAAGTTTAGAAAGAGAAAGAAAGCTTCAAGCTATGGTGTAATTGGTATAATTAACATAGAATAGATCCCTTCCACCCTTTTCAGTAAATATATTTAATTTTCCCCATTATATTTATTTTGTGGGCCTAACAGGCCCAGTGCCTTTAGAAGTGTAGGTTTGATCCAAGGATTCTGTGTTCAGTAATGAGAATGTATTGATATGTTTCTCTTGAACTTAACTTTTTTCACATTCTCAGGTGAAAGCTTCATTTAATGAAAATACAAAATGTTATGAAATAAAAACACATCTGGGCTGTCAGAAATACAAAGAAGTATATATTTCTTATGGCCCTCATGACAACCAGCGACTACTACTAGAATATGGTTTTGTTGCTGCTGATAATCCACACAGCTGTGTGCATGTTGGTACAGGTAAGTCTATGGCTATATCTTGATTCCTGTATTACTGTTATGTACCTTCACAATTTTTTTAAACAGTGGTTCTCAGACTGTGGCTTATGACGTGCCCACAAGAATATGTGTACAGGATATTTTCATTTCTTTAATATCAAGTAGATTGTTAATAATATTAACTACCAATACAGAATGCTTAAAATGTCAGCCTTGAAAGGTATTGCGGCTTTTATTTGCTTTAAACATTTTACTTTAACTTTTTTTAGATACATTGCTTAAATATTTTTATTCAGAAGACAAACAGAAACCTGCGAAACTTTTCATTTTACGAGAGCACAAATTGTTAGAGTAAGTCATCTTTATATCTTTTATAGTATAAGTTTTGAAGATTTCATGTTAAACTTTCTCAGTGTTATTTGTGGATTTGAAGTACAAAAATAAATTTGTGCAATGTTTGTTGCTTCTGCATGGACCGTGACTAAATGCAGGAGTTTTGCAGAACACTGGAACTCATCCTGCAGTGTACCCTAGTTGAAGGTTGTGCTAATATACATGATTTGGGACTTAAGAAATTTGTGTACTTTATAATCCTATAAGTCCCTGATATAGATATTGCCCTTAGTCAATATTTCATATGTATAGGTTTCTATATATACAATAATAAAATCATGGACTGCTACTTCTTGATTTAGGGATGGGGCATATGGAAATTTTATAGGAAGATGTATATTAAAAGATCATGTAGTTCACAGTTGATTTCCAGCAATAGTTGGATAGTACCCCTTTAACTGAATGTATATAGTCTTTTTTTTTAAGAGTACTATGGAGTATTGCAATTGTCAGTGAAGTGAGATGGACAGTATTTTCTCTGTCAGCATATGAAATAAATTGAATTTAGATTTTTTTTAAAAATACTTTTTTTTTTCTAGTGATCTGACGTTTGGCTGGGATGGACCATCTTGGACACTTCTTACAGCCCTTAAATTGTTATGTCTTGAAGCAGATGAATTGTAAGTTGCAAACATTTGCTGAAAAATATTGTTTTGAGAAATGTCATTTGGATTGCCATTTTCTTGCTTTGTATGAATATCTGATACATACAAATATATTCAAAATTTATAATTCTAGTACTTTGTGGAAAAAAGTAGTGCTTGGAGATGTTGCTTCAAGGAAGAATGAAGAAAAGAGTGTGGATCTTGCAACAAAAATATGTACATCATTGATGGAAGAAACTCAGCATGTGCTTCAGAAGGTAACTTTTAATACTTACTGCTCCAGTGTAAAATTTGAGAGTGAAATATTTTAAATAATTAAGATTGAAAAAAAAAACATTTCAGATTCCTCTTAAAGCTGAAAAGTGTCCTGTCATATGATATATCAGTTTATCTCCAGCCAGTAAAGTTAGGAATTTATAGAGGAGATGCTTAGCTCTGATAAATCTTCAAGAAGGACTCTTTAACTGAAACAGTGAACTTCTAATAAAAATGGAATAGATGAATTATTTGATGCATATTACATTAACAGGGCTAGACTTTGTAGCAATTTTCCTAGAGGTATAAAATAAATTGAAATAGATCAATCTAACAAAATGAAATTCAATGGTGAAAAAAGTAAGGTTCTACATTTAGGCAAGAAAAACCAAATGTATAGGTATAGTATAGGCCAGGGGTTACCTTGCTCAATAATAGTAACTGTGAGAGGGATCTCAGAGTCGTAGTGGACAATCATTTAAATATGAGCCAGCAGTGTGCTGCAGCTGCCCAAAAAGCCAACACAGTGCTAGGCTGCATTAACAGAGGGATAGAATCAAGATCATGTGAAGTATTAATATCACTTTACAATGCCTTGGTAAGGCCACACTTGGAATACTACATCCAGTTTTGGTCACCACGATGTAAAAAAGATGCTGAGACTCTAGAAAGAGTACAGAGAAGAGCAACAAAGATGATTAGAGGACTGGAGGCTAAAACATATAAGGAACGGTTGCTGGAATTGGGTATGTCTAGTTTAATGAAGAGAAGGATGAAGGGGGACATGATAGCAGTGTTCCAATATCTCAGGGGCTGACACAAAGAAGAGGGAGTCAAGCTACTCTCCAAAGCACCTGAAGGCAGGACAAGAAGCAACGGATGGAAACTAACTAAAGAGAGAAGCAACCTAGAACTAAGGAGAAATTTCCTGACAGTTAGAACAATTAATCAGTGGAACAACCTGCCTCTTCGGTGAATGCTCCAACACTGGAAGTTTTTAAGAAGACACTGGACAGCCATTTGTCTGAAATGTATAGGGTTACCTCCCTGAGCAGGGGGTTGGACTTGATGATCTCCAAAGTCCCTTCCAACTTTATTATTATTAATTGTCCAAAAGGTAGGTTTTCCAAATATATATGATTTTCTCATTATCCTAGCCAGCGTGTAACTGCAACTATAAAGTTGGAAATAACCTTTTAAAGCCATTGTGTCCAACCTTTTTCTATTATAGTACTTCAGATAAAAACATTTGTGATAAATAACTTTCACTTGAATCTAGAGAAAGTAATATCAATACCTGTTTAGGAAAATAGCTCTGTTATCAAACAGCTCTTACTATTGGAAAGTTTTCTCCGACATCAAGTTAAATCTGCCTCCTATCACTTACTATTATTGTGTGTTCTGAAGAATTAGTGTATTATGTAATTATTTTAAAATATTAAATGAACATTTGACCTTGTGAGTAAATGTATTTTAACAACCAGTCAGTTCTAAAATATAATTTTGTTTTTTTCTTTCCAGGTTTCAGTCTCAAAAAATCATTATAAACATCTTGTTAATCAATTGACTTTGGTAGAAGCATTACATACAGAAAATCTAAGAATCTTGCAGCTTTCGTATGCAATGCTTCAGCATTTACCTTCCACAACCATTTAATTTTGCCAAAACAAAATTGTGCTAGTCTCTGCAACAATAAAACAATTTAATATTCAGTGTGAACATTCTGTAAAAATATGAACAGAAAAAACAAATCAGGAATGCATAGATCTTTGAAGTCCCTTAATTAAGACTGCATTAATTAGAAAAAAAAATATGTTAAGAGAAAACATTTTAAAAGGGGCAATAATGAGGCCCTAAGGATCTGTAGTCTAAATGATAATTTAGAGCAATGTTTCTTAGCCTTCCCACTTTTAAAATATATGAAGGTCCTCAAAAATGTTTTTGTTTGCGTGGATTATATTTACCAATGTTTACCATATTAAAAATTAAAGTTGATGCATTTGCTGATGCTATCCATTCTCACAATTATTTGATGGGATTTTTAATATTTTTTTAAAAAAATAAGCTGGCACTTGATTTTGTGGACCTCAGAGAGAGTCTTGTGGTACTCCCAGAAATCCTAGGAAGTTTCTTCACCTCTGAAACACCATCTTTTTATCTCTGCTTGTTTACTTGTTATTTAGTAAAGTCATCTGAATTTTAACTTCTTTTAGTCTGCTGATGGATTTAGATTAGGGCTGTCCCTTTGACACATATATTGACTCAAGAGTAGATAAGCTGGACTTCTTGACAGATATGCACTAGAGAAATAATTGCATGAATTCTCTGAAGTCTGTTAGAAGCCTTCATTTGGTTCTTGAAAAATACTAGAGATGTAACTGCATTAAAAACAGTTTATGTCTGCAAATACTGGCCAATCTCACATATCTGTTTTGCATTTTTTGGCATAGCTGAGGCTACAGTGGTACCCATTACTTCCTTGAATGCAGCATTCTAAGATTGCTTCATCTCCAGTACTTGTATTTTTGAGGGATGCTTGTTTTCCTGTGCCTAGCCCACATTTTATAAATTTTGAGTTTGTTAATGGCATCATTAAGTTCAGATGTACAGTTTGCATTTTAGTCACTGGAGAAGATAATTCAATTTAATGCAGTAAGAAATAGCAGCCTGATTTTACCTCCTTTATGAAGCCTAAAAAATAGCTGTTTAAGTTTTTCTACAGAAATTAATGTTAGTCATTTTAATATATACATCTGAAAGAGATTAGAGAGCAATGTTCTGTATATGGCAAAGCTAAATATTTTTTGTGTGATTTAATATTGTTTACAACTATTTTTAAAAAAGAGTACAAAGAATATTATGTTTTGGAGTTATGCTAATGTTAAATAATGTACTAAATCAAATTGTAAAAAATATGTTGTATATAACAATATAGAAAAGTGAATATATGTGTTGTACATGTTATGACAGTAGAAACTTTTGTGTGTGTCTTTGTGTTTTTAGCTCTTATGGCTACCATGCTCATGAAAAGAGAATATGGGTGATCTCAGAAGTTCCTTGATATCATTTTACAGCTTCATTAGAATGGTTTTTAGTTTCCTTGTTTCAGCTATAAAATAGGATAATCATTCATCATGGGTTAGTGCTTTTAGACCTGTCCATTCAGGAAAAGATAAGATAGTATCAACTTTCAAACTTAGTTAATTAAAGCTTTTAAGTGCATTATGAATGAAATGTCAAAAGATGACACTCACTAGGGGGAAAGATCTGTAAGTGATGTGATCTGTGATTTGATGTTCTTGGAAGTAAATTTTTCCTTAGAAATATGAAGCTATATAGAAGAAATGGGCAATTTCATTTCATAGACTAGAGTATATGAAATAATTCCCATTATGCAGCATTGGTGAAGATAGGTGAAGATAATAAAGGTGGATATAAGAAAAAGTTAACATTATGGCACAATAAAACTTGTCTAGCTTGTTGAACAGCAAACAAACTAAGTTAAAAGTGGTCACAAGGATTGTAAACAGGTTAGAGGCTACTTCCATCTGAAGCACTGTCACTTTTGCATAAATAGCACCCAAACATTTGTAATATTGCTGTGGTATATAGCCAAGGGAATCACAAATAGTTTGAAAAACACAAAAGCAGTTTAACTGTAGATACTGATTTAAATGTTTTTATACACTGAAAAGAATCCCTGAGCTTATTGGTGGCTGCAGAGTTGGGGACAAGAGAAATGAATGTGAGGTTCAGTGCAAACAAAAAACCCAAAGCTGTATGTATGATGATAAATCATTCCAGATAAAAGTCTGAATTGTTTGTGTGTGTGTATGTGCACATGTGCATTTATGTTTTTGAGTAAGCTTTGATTCTGGTGACTACATGAACAACAGAAGTTTTTTTGGTAAGATTTTTAGAAGTGGTTTGGCATTGCCTTCTTCATAGGGCCCAGAGAGTGACCTAGCTGACTAAGGAAGGATAGAATTCATGGTTTCTACTGATTGTGGAATTATTATTTTCCTATTGACAGAAATCTGCCCTTTACTGTCTACTGGTTGAACCTAAGCTATGGGGTGATGGTTTTTCATCTGCTGAATTTATTGTAGTAGATATTGGATATTGGGGATATAACTGAGGGCTGAAATAGAGGAGAATCTAAGGATTCTTCCAACTCTAGACAGCTGAGGTATTGGCATATTTGGAGTTCCCTCTGGTATGGCGTGGGAAACCATAAATATGAAATATTTTTGATTCTTATATTTTATCTTTTTTTCGGCCCATGTTGTACTGACATGGTTTAAACATAGTTTGCTAAAGTAGCCTAGTTCACACTACTATCACAGCCTGTGGCTTTTAAAACATAATAACTGGCTTTACACAGGAGCGAAGAAATCACATTATGAATATAACATATAAGGCACCCTTGCTTATATTGAGCAAGATAGTCTTTCAGTCTTGACATCTGTTCTGATATTTTGCAATGACATATGCAGCTGTATTAATAACTTTAATGAATATGAAAACAAAATTAATGAAAGACAGTTTTTATAAAGAAGGAGGCAAAGGAAATAATGTGGGATCAGGCTGCAAACTACAGGTGCTAGTAATATACCCACATATGTTAAACTCAAATGGGCTTTCTATTATAAATAAAATCATGGGATTTGCTTCTCAGATCAGGAAAATTCATTTTTTTAAAAAAAATAAGTATTTAACTTCACTTTGTTTATGCTGTGAGTTAACCTTAGTGCAAACATGTAAATTAGTCAAAAATATGTGGGAATTATTTTCTCAGAAATGTTGTTTTCAAAGTATACACTAGAGGGTGCTTGTGTACTGCAATTTTTATACAATATTAAAATTAAGGCCTAAATATGTATTTGCTATCTTTAAAAATGACCTTTCCCCCATCATTTTCTGCAACTTAAGACAGAGTAGTTGAATTTTGTAGTGTTCAAAATCACTCTTAAAGAGGTTTTCATTCCAAATAATATTTAATGTTACTTAGAAGTCATGTGACTGTAGATTGTATGGAGGTACTCTGAGCTCATACAGCTAGGGCTTTGTAAATTAACGAAAATGTCCCAAATTCCAGTATTAGCTACATTCTCAGGAAAACGAAGCTGATATACAAGCTAATTCAAATTTTCAAAGCTCGTCTATCAAACTGATTATCCAGTTTCTATAATTTGAAGAATATTGTGTTTCCCAAGTTCACAATCTGAAAACCAATATTTCACTAATCATCTTGTGCATCTAACTGGATACCAGCTTTCCTATAAAAACCCACCATATAGTTTATAAGCTATCTGCAAGTACCTGGAATCTGCTTCTGGAATCATGCTATGCAGCTGACTGACAAAGTGACCCGTTCTAGCTCCAGAGATCTTCAAAAGGTAAATGAGGTTGTGGGGCCTGGTGTGGTGGAAAGCAGACCCGAAGCCTGAAGGGACTTATGGGGTGGAGCAAAGGCCTGTGGGGACCCATTTGGAGGAGGAATACCTGCGGGGACCTGGGTGGGGGAAAAAGAAACGACAGGAAGCAGAGCAAGGGATATCTTGTGGGATGGGGGGTGGCAGGCATGGACCTCCACGGTGCCTCCCTGGGTGGGGGAGAAAGAAAGGACAGGAAGCAGAGCAAGGGATATCTTGTGGGATGGGGGGTGGCAGGCATGGACCTCCACGGTGCCTCCCAGGGCCTCCCCCACCCCTGAGGCAGACCATGCTCCACTTACTTGCATAAAGGAGAGTGAGGTGGGGGTCCTTACGCTAGGCCATTTCACTTAATGGCCATCATGATATGTGACCATAATGGACAGCTTCCATTACAGTTGTATGTCGAGGTCTTATATTGCTCCACATTCTGTGAAAAAGAAAAAAAGGAAGTATATAAAATTGTTTCTTAGTTTCTTCTAGTCTACCCATCTTCTCTCCATTTTTTTCCAAACATGTTTTGTATAAATGAGAGATTATGGAGATTTTCAGGTAGGTAACCTGATGCCCTGCATATGTTTGGAACATCAATGCCAATCAGTCCCTAGGCAGTGTGGCTAAATGACAAGGCATTGTGGGAAATGTAGTCCACAGTTTTGAAGGTGCTCTGACATTTATCTGGACACAGTAGCCTTTGGTAGGATAATTAAAGAATCCTAATTCTTTGTTTTAATTAAGCAAATAAATGCATTCTTGGTGACAAGAATACAGTGTACACTTTGTTCAGTAATACTTGTATGATTTTATGGTGTGTGTGTCTCGCATTTAAGATGACCATAAAATTTTCCCCATAAATGCTCACTAGTCTACTGAGCTGAAAGCATTTTGTAATACTGAATGATGCATTTTGGACTAAAGTGTCAGGAGTTGAAAGGATCTTGTATGCACACAGGGGAAGGAATCATTTTTTCCCCATTAGCTTACTGATACTGTGAAGAATGATGCTGAGCAGGGCCCTGTAGTTCCTTCTTTTTCTTTGTTTAACATTAAAAAAATGTTTTAGAAGTCATGAAAATGAGTTTTGTCTTCCCTTCCTCTTACTGTCAAGCAAAGTTTGTTTCAGCTCTCTCAGCTTCACATGGAATTTGTCACGGACAGGAAGCATATACCTTACCTTGTGAATATATAACGTGTAGTCGCCTCTTAGGAAGAAAAAAGGGAAGAGAAGAACCCCTTTCATCATGTTCAGTTTTCCTCACTGTTTTATTTCACTTAAAACATCACTCAGGACCAAGTGGTATTTGTCAGTAGTAATTGGCAAAGGCTGCAGGCAGTTTTCAAGGCTGTCTGGGTAGAAAATCTCAAAGCAGTTGTCTGTGCTGAAAGAAAATATTACATTTGATCTCTTCCTCCTCCATTATCCCCCCCCACCATCTTTTAGACATGATGCATGTCTGCATTCCACAGCTTGAAGAGTCCTCATTTTTAAATGTCAGGAAGTAGTTTTTCTTCAGAAATGTACAGTATTGGCTGGGAAGTAACCACAATATATGTGCAATTATTTTTCTGAGGTTTTTTCCTAGAAAATTTTGTTTTATTGTGGCTTTCAATCCCTCTCCTCCATCCTATTATTATTATTATTATTATTATTATTATTATTATTATTATTATTATTATGGATCATCGCACAGTCAGCCAGATGTTCAGACTGGATTTGGCATTTTGTCTACCTATCGAGTCCTTACCCAGGACCTGGGATAGGCAGATGTGGATGTTTGATGGTATTACAGGTATCGTCGCAGGATGGAAGCAGTTCCTAATAAGGCCGCCTTTTGCAATTGACTAATAGCGAATTTGTCAATGCCAATGGTGTTCAAGTGGTGCTCCAGTTGTTTTGGGATTGCACCCAAGGAGCCTATACTATTGGTACTACCCTTGCTTGCTTTTGCCACAGTCTTTCTATTTCTATTTGTAGGTCTTTGTATTTTGTTATCTTCTCCAGTTCTTTCTCTTCTATTCTGCTATCTCCAGGCACTGCCACGTCCACTATCCAGACTTTTTTGTCTTTCTTATCGACAATTGTTAAGTCTGGGGTGTTATGTTGCAGGTGCTTGTCTGTTTGAATTCTGAAGTCCCAGAGCAGTTTAATTTTATCATTTTCTATGACTTTCTCTATTTTATGATCCCACCAGTTTTTGCTTACAGGCAAATGATATTTTTTGCAGATCTTCCAATGCACCATTGTTGCTACTTTGTCATGCCGCTGCTTGTAATCAGTCTGTGCAATCTTCTTGCAACAGCTTACCAAGTGGTCCACTGTTTCTTCAGCTTCTTTGCATAGGCGGCACTTACTGTCTGTTGCTGTCTTCTCAATTTTGACTTTGTATGCATTTGTCCTTAAGGCTTGGTCTTGTGCAGCCAGAATTAGTCCCTCGGTCTCTTTCTTCAATTTTCCTGCTCTTAGCCATTGCCAGGTTTTATTATTATCTGCTTTCCCAGCTATTTTTTTCATGTATTGGCCATGTAGTGCTTTGTCTTCCCATGCCTCTATTCTGTTCTTCATTTGGTCTTTCTTGTAGGCCACTTTGGTCTCTCCAGTAGTTAGTAAACCGTCCTGATATACTAATTTCAGTGCATCTTCATCATTGTTCTTCAGATATTCTTCCAAAGCCATTTTTTCTTCTTTAACCATCTGATGTACTTGTAGCATTCCACGCCCACCTATTTGCCTTGGTAGATAAAGTCTATCAATGTCACTGCGTGGATGAAGGGCATGATTCATTGTCATTATTTTTCTGGTCTGCCTATCCATTGCTTTTAGTTCTGCTTGAGTCCAGTCCACTATTCCAGCTGTGTACCTAATGACTGGGATTGCCCAGGTGTTGATTGCCTTTATGGTATTTCCTCCATTGAGTTTGGACTTTAAGATCTTCTTCACTCTCTTGATGTATTCACCTCTAATCTTTTTCTTGACTTCAGTGTGCTTGATGTTGTCAGCTTGAAGGATACCCAAGTATTTGTAGTACTCTTCCTCATCCAGACTCTTAATGTTATTTTCGTGGGGCATCTTGATTCCTTCAGTTTTCACTATTTTTCCTTGTTTGATAGTAAGTGTGGCACATTTGTCCAAGCCAAACTCCATTACAATATCTTGGCTATATATACGGACAGTGTTGAGCAGCGATTCTATTTCAGATGATGTTTTTCCATACAGCTTCAGATCATCCATATAAAGGAGGTGGGATAGTCTAGCAGATGTTTTTGATGTTTGATAGCCATGTCCTGAGTTATTCAGTATTGTTGACAGAGGAAACAGTGCAATAACAAATAGTAATGGTGATAATGAATCTCCTTGAAATATTCCTCTCTTGATATTAACCTCTCCCAGCTTCTCACCATTGATCTGCAACTGTGTCTTCCATTGTGCCATCGATCTTTGCACAAATTTTCTGATGTTTCTACTGACTCCTGTTATTTCTAGGCACTTTATTATCCAATCATGTGGCAGAGAGTCAAATGCCTTTTTGTAGTCAATCCATGCCACATTCAGGTTGGTCTTCCTTCTCTTGCAGTTTTCCAAGATCATTTTGTCTATTAGGAGTTGATCTTTTGTTCCTCTGCTATTGGGGCGGTTTCCTTTCTGCTCAGGTGGAAAGAGATTGTTTTCAACTAGATGCTGTTGTACTGCATCAGCTACCACACCAGTTAGTAATTTGAAAGTTGTTGGTAAGCAGGTAATTGGCCTGTAGTTACCTGGTGTTGCCCCTTTTGCTGGATTTTTCATTATTAGGTAGGTTTTCCCAGTTGTTAGCCACTTTTCAATTTCTCCTCCTTGTAGTATATTGTTGAACTGCTTGGCAATGAGTGGGTGTATAACAGTTAGATGTTTCAACCAAAACCCATGCAGTTCATCTTCACCTGGTGCTGACCAATTTTTGATTTTCTTTGCTCTTTTTTCTACCATTTTTGTTGTTATTACTAGTTCTTTCATTTCAACTTCTGTTTTATTTGCATCCACCTCTTTTAACCAAGCCGCATCCTTGTTGTATTTCTTTGGGTTATCCCATATCTGCTTCCAGAACTGCACTGTTTCTTCCTTGTCAGGTACTGACTGATTCCTTGCAGTTTCTCCATTGATGGATTGGTAGAAACGTTTCTGATTGGATTGAAATTGGAGGTTCTGCCTATAGTTTGCAATTCGAGCTTCATATCTACTGATTTTCCTGGCTATAGCTGTTATTTGTTGCTTTATTATTTCCAGTGCTTCCTTGATCTTCCTTGTTTCTAAGTGGTATTTCTTGATTAGGTATTCTTTGGTCTTCTTGTTCTTCAGCTTCTTTTCTTTCATCTGTTCTAGCTTGCTTGCATGTGATCTTAACTTGCTGATCTTATTTTCTAGTCTAACCTTCCATTTTTGTGGTGCACTGTTTGTTTGTTTTTCTTCTTTGTTGATTTTGCATCCCAGGTATTCAGTTATAACTGCAGCTGTGCTGTACATTAGTTGGTTTGTTTCTTGCAGTGAATTGGTGCTTATACTTGCTATTGCAGTATTTGCATCTTTTAATGCTTGTGCTAGCTGTTTCTTTGGAACAAGCTTCAATGCAGGCAGCCTTATTCTGTTGTTTTTGTGCTGTTCTAGATGCTCAGTTATTCTTTGTTTCAATTCTTTTATTTCTTTAGTTAGAGGGTTTTGTTCTTCCTGAGGAAGAGGTGCCTGGTTTCCAAATGAGAACAGTTGTATATCTCTACTGGATTCTTTCACTGCCAACTCCCCCTGGTTTGCCTCTACATTCTGAATTACTTCTTGTAAGGCTTTGATTTCTTTGCCCTGGGTAAACCTTTGCAGTTCGTCCAATTCTGTTTCTGTAAATACTTTATTTCGTATTATAAATCGGCGTTGATCTGCTAGTCTCTGTTCTGTTATTTCTGATTCTGGATGTTGTTCTTTCCAGAACTGGTGCATTCGTTTTAGATATCCTCGTCTTGTTGGACTTGATCTGTAGTAACAGATCATTATTTCTTTGTTTTCCATCACTGTGTATCTGCGACGGGTAAACACCTTTTCTTCCAGTAGTTCTGCAGCTGCTGGCCCTGGTTGCTCAGCCAACAGTCCTGAGTCCTGTAACCCATTTTTCACCAGATATCCAGGAACTCCAATATCTAGCGCGGACCTTGTTAACCCGGGCGACATCCGAGCCGGTATGGCATTCTGAAATTTACGTCTCACCATATTTTTTATGGGAGAGACACTCTTTGTCTGACTCCTCTGATGAGACCTGTCCAGTATGGTTGAACCTCTGGCATAGCTCTCATCTTCCTCAGAGTACACAAGCCCCACAACCACGTCAAGGTAGTGCCTCACTGGGGGATTATTATTATTATTATGATTATTATTATTCAAGCATAAATTTCTTCTTGGGTGTTTCCTATTTGAGTAATGAGCCACACACTTAAACCTCTGTGCAATTAATCACCTCACCTTTAACTCACTTGTACAAACTGAATCTGACTTAATCATCTCTGTCTTTGCACTTGTGTACTGCAATGACAAAAAAACGAGTGGCCCAATAGGAGACTTTCAACGTATCAAGCATATTGGTTTTTCTTTTAAGTTATGACCAGGTGCAGGAAGCCTTTTAGAACTATTCCCAGGCTCTTTGCAGTTTTAGAAAACATCAAAAGTTGAATCTGAATATCATCTGTGGTCAAGACTGTAGACTATGACTCTATATAGGTAGTTCTTGACTTAAACAACAATTTCTGTTGCTAAGTGACACAGCTGTTAAGTGAATTTGACCCATTTCACGAAATTTCTTGTTACAATTGTTAAATGAACCACTGCAGTTGTTAAGTGAATCTGGCTTCCCCATTGACTTTGCCTGTCAGAAGGTTGCAGGAGATGATCACTTGACCCCAGGATACTGCAACTATCACAAATATGTGTCAATTGCAGAGCTTCTGAATTTTGATCACGTGACCATTGAGATGATGCAATGGTTGGAAATTTAAGTGTAGGCTTCTGGTAGTGCCTGAAAAAATTCTATATGAGCAGAGCTGATACCATAGAACCAGAGCAGAGCTGAGAGACCATTGAACTAGAACAAATTAAAGATTTATTGAGAAGACACATATAGATATAAAATTTGTCTGTCTGTCTGTCTGTCTATATCTATCTATCGTCTACCTAGCTAGCTATTTTTTTTATTTTCTAAATCATTTTTCTTTAGCATCTTATATTTTTCTTCTCTTTCTACTAAAAGACATACTTCCTGTGCAAGAAAAAGAGAAATTGCTTTTATTTTTTAAATGCTATTTTCCCTGCTCTCCCCCATACTTCCACATAATTACTGTAGTAATTGCTTCCATTTCAGCCACACAGAAGTAAAACAACAAACATTCCATGATCGTAAAAACTTATTTTTAGAATTATATGATACTGCTCACTTTTTTTCCTTCTGTTTCCTAAAATTTAGTCAATTACTGTATCCATCTGGGACAAGACCTGTTCTCTTAACCCACAGCTTTTAAGCTTATTAAAAATCTTTGGTGAAGACCTTAGTCAATGTTGAATATTTTTAACTTCGAAATATATACTGTCAAGAGGATCATCTCTGTTTACTTGCCTTTCACACTTTCAGATAATCCTCTACTTCATTCTGCTTCTGTCTCCATCTCAAAGCAACAAATAAGATGGAAGGCAGGGAAGGCCTGAATGCAGCTGTGGCCATTGGGCTCATAACAGCAGCCTTCCTGACCTGGACTCAGGGCATCCCACTTCCTACCTCTCTCTAATAATTCTTTTAGTTCTTATTGGGAAAAGGGATCTGTTCTGGGCAATGGGGCAGTAGCGACATGGCTGGACATTGGCCTGAGATTAGTTTGTCAACCTTATGGCTCTGGGTTGCAATAGATCCTGGGCCTGTAGGCTGGACATACAGTCTAACAGGCAGAATGGTTTGCCTCTTGCACTTTCCTTGGTGATAGTTATCAGAAGAGAATGATTTTTTTTTCTCTTGCTTTTCAGGGTTTCTTCAGGTACTTCTGTTACTTGCCTGATCTCAGACCTTACAGCAAATAAGCCAGGGGTTTGCCAGAAGATGGCTCTGCTGGAAACTGAATAAGTAGGAAGTAGCAAAAACTGTTGAGTGAAGAGGACCTTTGCATGATAGATACCACTATTCTGATACCCAGCAAAATGATTGTACATAGGTTGAAACTGTCTTAAAGCAGCCCTTTCCATCAGGGCCAAATGTGAATATTCTTCTCTACAGATAATCTAAGAATGATTTTGCAGTGAGGCAGAAACAAAATTGCCTAACTATGATCCTCAGTTTTTCTATTTTTCTGGAAATCAGCTGTGTCTCTCTTCCAATCTATTTTAGTCTAGAGATAGGTTTGAATACTCCTGTGTACTTTAGTAATTACTTGCATGTATTAATAATGGGCAGTTTTGTACTTATGATTAAGAATTTAAAGTGTAAGAGTTGTTTTGAAGTCAGTTCCTATTGTTAAGCATTCTAACTTAATTTAGTTTCAGAGTGTGAAAAAGAGGAATGTTTACTGGAAATGTAGCTATTACTGGTAGGTTTTTTAAAATAATGGCCTTAAATCATCTGGCCTTATACTTACATAATCCAGGGGAAGAGAATGTTTAAAATTGTAAAATCCTTATTTCAGTCAAATGCTTAGGAACACCATCTTTTTAAAGGTAAACTGATGTGGAGTATGTTAAAGAAAAAAAATATAGAACATGTTTATCCTATGATATAGTCCATTATATCTTTATTCTGAGTATGTTTATTGACTAGAAGCACAACTTCATTCTTTATATGATCTCAAATGAATCATTTGTTTTCTGCAGGAAAATGTGATGTTTCAGATTTCATCAAAACAGCTTGGTTATAAAATATTCAGTCCTCGAGAGCCTGAAGAATGCTAAATCTATTTAGATCTGTCGATAGGTTTGTCATCAAGGTATCATCCTTATTGTTTGATGTCAGTGTGATTTTCCTTACACTGAAAATGTAGTACTGACCATTTTATTATTATTTGTTTTTTCAGAACACTATTTCAAATAATATGTTCAGTTTTGTCCTAAGTTTCTTAGGGAAGATCTCATTTTCTGATTGGCTCATCATCAGTATAGGCTATTCATTGCTTCCTGAATGCAAGAACTATTAAAAGAGCATCCTGTACCCACAGTTTCTTGCTTTGACTCAAAAGTACTCTTTTCTGATCCAAGCCATCTTAGGTATTCCAGAAGTGATTATCTTCAGTACTGGTCTTTGATCATAGTAAAGATTTATTTGAATTACAGTCTGATTCAGACCTAAATACATTATATGATTCAATATTTTAAACTATTGTTTGCCTTCATTATGTAAGGGGGGGTGTCAACAAGATATGATGGTGTTTGTGTACCTCCAGGATTGTTTTAAGACAAAACCACAGCCATGCTGGATAACAGAAGTGTGGTTAGATAGTGTAACTTTAGGAACACTTTTCATGGCTTACCACAAAACCTCAATAGAGATATGTTAGAAAGTAGACTGAAGCTTTCTCTTGTATACTTCTGAGAGCTGAAGCCAAAGACAATGTTTGTGACCTATTAATAATTGTACTTTGTATTTTCATTTCATACAGAAATCAAACAAAAATTGAATGCAGTCTATTCCTAATTAATAAATAGCTATGTGTATTTAACGGGTCTTATTAAAGTTATTGTTATGGGATGCTTACAAACTGAATTTATAAAATGGAATTACATACAATTGGCACATCATAATCATGTTTGGGCAGGCAAGGAAAAATTATAACAAAAGGCTTTAACCAATATATGCCATTTTCTTATGGTGAAAGTGTTGCAAAATACTCCACAAAAACTATTAATGCTTTCCTGACTTTCCATGTATATTTATTTTTGTTGATTTCCATGTCACCTTTCTATTATTCAAGGTTATATTTCTTTCAAACATTTGTTAGCTCTTTGTTTGTTTATTCCTTTCAAGCCAGCTTTTGAAAAGCAACCTTGCTTGGTGGATGATTCTTACTAGCTACCAGGTTATATAGAAATCTCTTACAGAAACATGCTTTCACAGAGTGAAAGTGGGATTATTAGCAACAACAATAGCACTTAGACTTATATACAGCTCCATAATCCTATACAGCACTCTCTACGCAGTTTACAAATGTCAGTATATTGCACCCAACAATCTGGGCTCTCATTTTACCAACTTCAGAAGGATGGAAGGCCGAGTCAATCTTGAGCCAATCAGGATTGAACCCCTGCCTGTGGGCAGAGTTAGTCTGCAATACTGCATTCTAACCACTTCGCTACCACAGCTTGTGATGATTCATTCTGATTTTTGCTTTCTCCTTGTGTTTCAATCAATGAGCTCCTGCCCTGAAATTAATGGAATAAAATCCAAGTGAAAAGTGAATTACTCCTGAATAATTTATATTATATTATTATTATATATAATTCTTCTCTCAAAATTTAGAAACTGTATTTAGAAGACCGAAAAATACAATTTTATATAACTCATAAATGTTCATGGGATAAAGGATTCTTCCCTCATGCTGAGGACTGTATATACAGTATTTTATTTTGCATCAGAAGGGCTTTGTGAGGGTGATAGAGGGATTTCCATCTCTGTGTGCATAAATATATTTAGTTAATATGGTTAGTATTGAATTTGTTCTTTTGGATGTATTTCTGTCAACTCTTGAGTGTTATAAAATCTCCACCTTTTCCCTAGGACAAGTTTCTGATTAGTTATTTTGTGCTTCTACTAAGACACGGAGCACCTTCCAAAGCAAACAAACCATGCCCCATTGTGTCATGAGAATTAGCTAACATTTCTTTCTCCCTTTGTCTTAAACTACAGATTAAAGGGAGTTTTGTGAGTCTTTCGTTTTGCTTGATGGAGAGAGGCAGCTTAACTCTTTCCTTGACTGAAAGTTAAAACTGTCTCCCTGTTCCCCATACTTCTGCATAAGTACAGCTTTGTTGGACTTATTTGAGTTTTGAAAATAAACTTGGTGAAAGAATGTGCTTGGGAGAGTAGGAATATAACAAGGCAGGAAACATGGAAGTTGAAAACAACAGGAACAGCCAGGCCAGCCCTTTTCCATTCCATGTCTCCATTTTCATCCAAGTGCTGTATAACTGCAAGCATTAGTCAGAATCTTTGTTTGAGCTGGCTGCATACTCAGAGTCTCCCTCAAAAAAAGTTTAGGAAAATTATTTTGGGTGGTAAGACATTAATAGCTTCAAGAAGAAATAATCAGGAAAATATTGGAATGTGCAAAGATGGACAGATTAACTATGAGGTTGAAAGATAAAGAAGATACAGACTACTATCAAATTTGGAACCTATTTTATTCTTGGCTAGAGGAAAGAATGAAGGATTAGGAATTGAACATGTATTACCATAGCAAACTCCAGACAACTTGTTGATTGGAAAAATTAACATATGTTGATGAAAAAAAACAATAAAATCTTTACTAAACAAAAGACATTAATAGTTTCAGAAGGGGACGACAGAGAATGAGATGGCTGGATGGAGTCACTAAAGCAGTAGGTGTGAACTTAAATGGACTCCAGAAGATGGTGGAGGACAGGAAGACCTGGAGGAACGTTGTCCATGGGGTTGCGATGGGTCAGACACGACAACAACAATAGCTTCAGAACTGCACACTATGCAATTATTCTTTCTTAAAAGTTTTATGAAGTGTCATAGACAGGGCATAGTCTAAAGGCACAAATTAAAGAGTCAACTTTTAAAAAATAAACAGGTTTATGTTAACTAGTGCCTAAGAAACATTTCCTTCTACCAGATATGAAGAAAATTGGTCACAAATTAAGTATCTAGTAAAACTTGTGCTTTAGTAAGGTAAGATCATCCTTCAGCATGGGGTTAAGTGTAATGATTCTTATGGACTGTTGGTAGTAATGGTATGTTTGGCTATGTCCAAGTAACATCACTGTCTCACAAGTTGCAATAGCTCTTTGTAGGTTTCTCGGTATTATTTAAAGTGCTGATTGTCACCTATAAAGCCCTACATGCACAGAACTAAGCTACTTGTGGGATAGCGTCTCCTTGATCTTTCTGTTTCATGAGATCACGCTAGGTGGGTATGCTCCAGGTTCCTTCTTTGAAACCATGGCATCAAATGGGACCTAGGAGAGGTACTTTATCTGCTGCTATACCTGTCTTTGGGACTGAACTTCCCTTTGAAACTCAAAGAGCCTGGCCATATTGACTTGCCATAGAGCCAGAAAGATCTGACTTTTCTCCTATGAATTGGATAAGGATGGTAGAAGAATCCATTCTATGATGTGCAGGAATATTTCTATTTCCAGATTTAGTTATGTATTGATTATGTTTTTGATTTTGTTGGTTTGTTGGTTTTTGCATTATATTTATTCTTGTTTTTGCTTTTTCTCTTTTGTATGCTACCCAGAGTCATAAATTATGATAGGGAGAGCTTTATAAATCTTTTAAATAATAAATCAATAAATAATAAAATACCCTTAAGCTAGGGTGAAAGTAATATGACATATATTGTATGTGTTAATGTCAATGTACTCAGTCTTTTACATTTGCCACTCTCTAATTATTTTATTTTCTAAAGATTAATTAAATTAAGACACAGAAAGCTAGCATTCTACAAAGATAAATACTAGTCTCTAGCATTATCTTGACTTTCACTAAAGGTTGGTGATGTGCAAACCTGGCAATGAAAAACAGTGTCCACCATCCAGAAAAAGAAAAAAAAATAAGGCAAGACACAGAAGGAAAAACTAGAGGGGATTGCCAAGGCTAACATTACCAATTTATTTTCCGGTAAGTGGGCATTTTGTGATTAGTAAAACCAAGCATCGAAGCCTTTTTGTGAAAGAAACAACCTTCCTCATGCATCCAAATCAAATTCCTAGAATTATAAATGTGCAATCTGCCTCAGAAAATTTTCTTCTTTGGCGTTTGACCTATGAAAATCATGCTGATATGTGTTTGGTGTTGATGCTATTTATTAGTTTATTATTTTAGTTAACATGGTTGCCTACTCAATCTGCTTAGTTTACTCGAATGGAGAATATTCAGTTTTTCTACTGTGCAGGAATATATTTTGATTTCTTTCATAGGCATGATGTACTAAGTTTGTAGATCCTGGACTATGGTTAACTATTAAACATTGGTCAGGCCATTGTGGCTTGTTCAACAAATTAAAATAAACTGTAGTTTAATGCAAACTGTGAAGCCAATCATTAGAAACTATTCCGAATATGAAAAAAGGGAAGAGAGCTATGAATGCAGTTGTTCATTTCTTCTTAGGTAGGTAGGTAAATATAACCACAGCACAAGCCAAGCATATTTGATTGCAAATGTGGAAGAATTCCTTCATTAGCAATTTGTTCCCAGTTTTCAAAGAGTTTTTGAGCAGGGAATAGCTTTGTCAAAAAGTAGCTGCATATCTGAGAATGCTAAAGATTTCAGCATGACACCCTTAAGAACGAGGACATTAGAAATCTTATATTTGGTTGGCATTCTGTGTCCTGTATGTTCTTCCAAGATTTCAAACTTAGCAAGAAATATATGAATCTGTTATAGATGTGATACAAAGTTGCCATCAAAAGTAGCATGGGGATTGACCACAACCCTGGTCATCTTTATGAATCAAAGTTTCTTCTAATTTATTTAAAATCTTTATAACAACATCCTCCAGACCGCACTATTTCCAGAGGCAATCTGAGACAAACAACATAAGAAAGCTTTAGTGGGCAGAGTTCATTAGCATCACTTTAATGCACAATCTGATCGAGGATATCTAATTTCAAAAAAAGAAAGAAAATAATTACGTTTATTTTCACAAGCAAGCAGGAAGCACAAATGACAGAAGAGTCACACACCCCTTTTGTAAATTCAGCACAGGTGGCCAGAAAGAATACCTGAGCAAATATCAACAGTTGCTTAAGAAACTTTCATTGTACCCAAGTTTGCTGTAGGTGGTTCCTGCAAATTTCTACATCTATTGATTCAAAACCAGGCAAGGGTGGGGGAAAGGCTTTCACGGATGAATGCTCACTTGTAAATCTTGCTGATAACTTTATTACTTTTTAATACTTTTATTGCTAATTTCTATACTGAAGGCATTAATCTCATATTTTATTTTTAGTTCAGTGTCACTAATGGTTGTAAGTGAATAGTGAACTCCCATTTGTACAAAGGCCTGGTTTACACTAAGTCTTTTTTATGTACACACATGACTTGGAGAGAACTTGCCTTTTATAAACTGGGTGGCTCATTCCATTTTAAATAAAGTAAGTCAGGTGATGTTCACTTCTCCAGTTTTATTTTAATTTTGTACAAACTGCCAAGGGAGCCTGGTAACCAGCAAGCTTTCTTTCATACTGTCTACTGTCCAAACTAAATAAAGTGAAGATTGTGCAAGTTGTTTCCAAGAATTCCCAAGGACCTGATGTTGATGTTATGAGAGGGAAATGTCAGTCTTCACAAATGAATTTTCTAGTTGCACAATACCATCAAGGAAGCTAGTTGGATGACTGTTATTCACAGAAGTGGTAACTCATATTACACCTTTCCTCCTATCCTGGACACCAAGGGGTTGGAGGGATATAAAAACAGTTAAAACGGTGACCATGACAGTGAATTCAGAGACTTGTCCCTTTTGTAGATGCT